AAGCAGCGCGCGGCACACGCCTGCGGCTGAGCGTACCTGCTCCCGGCAGTACTTGTGAGGATCGGGGCCGTAGGAGGAGCCTCGGATGCCGATCTGGACGACGCTGCTGCAGTCCAGCAGCCCTTCCTCCACGCAGCGCCGGAACGGGGTCCCGTGGTAGATCTTCTCCCCCAGGGCTCTGTCTCCGGTGTCGGTGTGAGCGTCCACGTGCACCAGTCCCACGGGACCGTGCCTAGTCGAGACAGGGCGGCCCGGTGAGTGCCCATCCCGTGCGCGGTGGCCCTGCCTACGCTGCAGACGGCAAACCGGAAACCTTCCCAAGGCCCCTGCCCAGGTCTTTGTTCCACATCTCCAGGTCAGAAACTTACTTTTCCGCCTCGGCCTGCAGGATGGGGTACGTTATGGTGTGATCTCCACCTGCAACAGGACCGGGCAGAGGGTGTGACACGCTGCAAGAGATGCTCAGCGCTCGTTACATTTGTTCCCCGGGTGATTTCCGCCCCGCACATACACACACATTTATCCTGCACCGGTTTATACACCCCAGGGCTTCATTCCCAAAGGAAAACCAGAGGCTCCTGGGTGCAGGGTGCTTGCTCTTTCCCCTTCCCTCCTCAGGAAGACAGGAGGACGCCAGACGCACGACTGCTGGCCGGGACAGCCTGTGGAGCAGGACCCTTGACCCGGGATATAAATAGGCACTTGATTCACCCCTGAGGACGCTGTCAGTGACACTTTGCCCCTCGTTACTCTATACGCTCGCTTTATTTAGCGATGCCAAGCTGCGGCAACTGGAAACTTGAACACGTGCCCAAATCACGCCTCGTGCAAAGCAGCACGCTGCCGGGCGCTCGCTCGAGTTGGAAGCTCTCCAGAGGGACACGGACTGCTCTTCCTTTGGGTCCTGCTCGACAGGACTCCAAAAGCACATCCCTGACTCTGTTTGCAGTGGAGCTTCAGGCGGCGCTTGCTCGGGAGCTCTGAAACAGTCTCGGGGCTGACCCATCCTCCTCATCTTTGACGCAACGCAAGAGGCATCGCTGATGGCAGTAATTTCAGCAAAGCGCCTGTAAGTTTACCCACACAGCACCCCGTGCGGGGACAGATTCATCGCTCGCCTTCGATTGTGCGCGGACCGAAGGAGGGGAGGAGGAGAGGGAGTCGGGATGAGCAGGGACGCAGCGGCAGGGGAGGGAACTGCGGGGCCTTACCCAAGGTGAGGGGCACGCAGCCGGAGGCCACGATCTTCTGGTAGGACTCTCGGATGAGGCGGCAGCTGTCGGGCAGGTTGTAGAGGTTCACGTTCACGTCGCCGATGTCGGCTACCTGCAGGGAGTCGAAAGGCGCTGCCCCGGTGCTGTCGTTGTACGTCCTCACCATCGCCGACTCGGCCCGGATCTGGCGCGGGCCGAACCTGGGGAGAGAGCACTGCCAGGGAAAGCTGCCGGGGGCTTCCCGATGCCAGCGCCACGCACCCAGCACCCCTTTTGAGGGAGGGCAGC